TGATTCTGAAGATGATAATAAAATACAATATATCCTTTGCTACGAAGAAGATGTTGACACTTTACTGTTTTCTGTACCAAAATACATTTTTCTATGTCAATTAATTATTCTTGGAAATTCCAATTACTTTGCTGCTCCAAATTTTCATGCTTTCATGAAAGTCACATAATTTCTATATTGCTTCGTGACTGTGTTTTCCGATGAGATGGCTTAAAGTGGAGCAATCAGGCGTGCTTTATTGGTCTTTAATGACTTTTAATGGATAAAAAAATTTTGGATGTCAAGTTTGAGCTTTCGATCGATGAAGGAGACATGTACCATCCAGCAGTACTCAAAATTAAAACTTTACTGTTCCACCAGCTCAGTGTGTCGCGAAATTTCAGCAATAATACTTCAAGTGTCTTCAGTTCATCAACCGCACCTAAATTATCATAAAATTATTAAATTCATTACGCTTCCATGGTTTTTAACTGTCAAAACAGCTAGTGGCAAAGATTTTTGTTTACTCTTGTTCATGCGAAAATTGTGTATGGAGCTTCTGATATCAACATCCCAACCATAAGTTGCTGTGTAAATTAGACAAGAACTCATTTATATTTAATGATTATTATGAAGCATCAACAACGCAAAAATAAATGAAGCAATAAACATGCAATGACATCAAAGCTATTTTTGGTATTTTGCGTTTGTTACTTTTTACATTTATTGTTCTTCAAGCTGTTAATGCGAAATTAATTAATTAGGTATTGAGTTTTATTAGCTTTAAAGGTAGGCTTTGGAAGGAAAAGCTGAGCTTTGTTGAATTTGGATTTTTTTTTATGTTTTATATCTTAGCCGTCCCCCTTAGGCTTCAGCCATCCTCATCAGACAATAAGACACGATTAAATGTGTACTTCAAGAAGCTTCATTCCAATTCTCTTTGTTATTCTTACCGATTCTTTTTCTGTTTTTCATTTTAATGAATTCTTTCCTTTGTTATTTCCAACATTTAATGAGGTTTATTGTTTCAATTATAATTTAATTTCCAACTCTTTTCAAATTTCTTATCGTGAATTTTAAAATTCAATTTTAAAGCTTTAGCTTGAAATTCAATTTCCCACCAAATTAAATTTTGTATCTAAAATAAAAATGGAAAGATACTGCTTCATTCCGCTCACTTTATCTCGTCGTCTCATATTTCATAATGTTCGTAGGCATTCTCATCCTCATAACTCATACTTTTTTTTATCAGTGAGTTTTCTCTTCCGCGAAATTTTTTCTGTGCCTTAAAAAAATAAAATTTATAAAGCTGAACATGGAATTCAACAGAAAGACTGGAAATGTCACGTTAACATTTTCATTTTTATTTTTATAAGAAAATTATCTTTGTAGCTGTTGAAAAGAATCATTTAGAAATGACGTTCGTCAAAAATTTGGATTTAAGATGTCTCTGCAGATAACGACAGTTTTAATGACAAATTAATTTTTATTATCTGGTATCTTATTCTTAACTTAATCCAAACCTTAACATATCTCAAAAGTTGAACTAATTTCAAACTCTGAACTTATTCTAAAATCTAAACTTATTCCAATAGTGAACTTATCCCAGCACTGAACTTGTTAAAACACTGAACATATCCCACCACTGACCTTATCCCACCACTGAACTTATCCCACCATTGAACTTATCCCACTACTGAACTTATCCCACCACTGAACTTATCCCAATGCTAAATTGATCCCAATACTGAACTCATCCCACCTTTGATGCTTATTGCAAACTTGAACTATAAAAATCTGAACTTATTCCAAAATTAAGATTTATCCCATAAACTGAGCTTATCCTCAAAAAACATTAAAACTGTCACCGTCACGTCCATCTGTACAGACATCATTTACAACTAACCCAAAAAGAGGAAATTAAACTGTGTTTGATGAATTTTTCACGCGAAAACATTTCAAAATCCATACAAAAATTTTTTTTGACTGATGACAACTAATTACAGCGTTTATTTTAGCACTATGATTAAAAAGCTCGTTTTCTTTTTCCCATTCATGTAACGAGCTCAGAATTAATGGACTTTTCATATAGCAATTATGCACCGTCATCATCATGTCATGTTATTATTGTACGAATGATGACTAACGGCATTGAGGTGGTATCATAAATATAGAATCACTTTTATTTTGGCCCTCTTTTCACCTATTATTCATATTGTAGCATGTTTTACATGGAATATGATTTTTTTTTGGTTTGAGGTTAATTTAGATTGCAAGGTGTCTGATTTAGGTGAATTTTGATTCAGAGATGAATAGGTCAAGTTGCCAGGTGGTTGAATGGAGGATTAGTAATGCTGGTAGACTATATAGCTTCGTATCAAGCTTTCATCACGAATACTGTCTAGGAATCAATTCAAATCACATCAATTGATTATTTTTTTGATTTTCTAGCTTGTAAGGTCATTGGGGTCATTCAAAAATGACGTTCAGCTTCAAATCATGCTCAAATAGCTGTAAAATTATCAAGTTAAGCGAATTCTCAAAATAATCTTGAGATTTCTTGTTCAATCTTGATTCATACTTCAAAAAGGCAACGCTACACCACTTGACGCCACCGGATTTCCAGAACGCGCTACAATTAACTTTAATCTTTCCACCGTACCAAACGCGGAGCACTGTTTAATGTATTCAATAAATTATCCGAACATGTACATAAGTGAATAATGAGAGAGTTTATTAAAAATTTTAATTAATTGCTTTAATTTCTTTTTTTAATCTCATTTCTCTCGCTATTGTTCTTAATTTCAATCGTCTGTATGTAATATGCACTGAATTAAGTATTCTGTTAATGATTCTTTTAATGCTTTTTTCTTCATTTCCATTTCACTTTATTTCAGTCGACATTAAGAATAAAGCAAAGGGCCACTTTAATTCATGAATAACTTTTTCTTCTATATATTAGCGAAGTTTTAATAATGAAAAGGGCTTTATTTGCAGCTTTTTGTCTGTTTGTTCTGAAATTAGTTCTCAACTTAAAATCTTTAATTTTAAATACTGGTTGACTGCTTTTTTTGAATATTTTAAAAATGCACTCTCAACAGTCACGAGTAATATGTCTTGCTTAATTTCTTTATTTTTCCATTCTTCAATTCGTAAAAATTTCATTCTCGTTCCATTCTTTGACATATTGTTCATTCTCCACAGTCTGAGTCCATATTATTCAGCCGTCTATTGTTCTTTAAAACGTTTTATGATTGAAAGAGATTTAGATATGCTGGATTTTATATGGAATTTATGGTTTATGTTGAATTCATAAAAAGAAATTCCATTAATTGTAGAAAAGAACGAAGTCTTTCAGGCTGATTTTTTATTAAAAAATAATAATGTTTTGAAGATGATATCTTAGAAATAGAAATAGACATAAAAAGGCCTGTCAACAATTTGTTTTTCAAATTACACAAGTTTATAAGCTATAATCTCTTGAAGAATTGTAAACAAGTTATGTAAGAGGACAATAACAAGGGGAGACTTCAAAGGAACAATCGGATTGATAACCTCAGATTTAAGGATATATTGAAGTTCATTAAGATTTTGTTTATTAAGTTAGCTAGAAAAATTTAAAATATGACTTCAAATTGGTCTGTTGAAATTGAATTGAATCGTTTTTTTTTAATAATTTGAATTTTTCCCAAACTTAGTTTATTTACAAAAATTTTTCCATCTGAAAATCACTGAAAATGAAAATTTGAAGGGCAATGAAGACAATTTAAGGAATAAAAATGATATTTTAAGCTTTGCTCAGAGATTTTATGTAGTTCCTAATCATTTATAAACTGAATTGTCAAAAAATGAAGCCAAAATTGAAGTTCAAAATCGTGAGATGGTAATGGATGCAGAAAATTGGCACAAGAATAATGGAAGCAGAAAAGCTCAATATCACTCCATTTTCTACAAATCTATTAAAAGACAATAAGAAGAATCAAAAAACAATTATTGATTATTTTCAACCCTGAATGAGTTTTCTATTTCAATAACATCCCAAGAATATTCAATTTAGACACCACTAGACAGATAAAGAGATTATCAAGCTTGAAAAATATTTTTAATCCTTTTGATTCTGGGAAGATTGGTTTTAGTGCTGGTTGTTGTGGGATGTGATAGAAATTTGTATTATTTTGTTGCGGTTTTTGTGGCACGAAATTCAAAATTCACGTGGTTCAAAATTCATTTTAAGATCAATCACAACATGATTTTATACCTCAATTTGCATCCAACAGAGACGCAGTTGTGAAAAGAATCTCTTACTAACCTTTTTAATGTTCATCCTCCACGAAGTTCTCAGAAACTGTTGACAATAAACTTCAAGTTAAATCTCAAGTTGTTCATAGCAGAAAATAAGATTTTAATATTTTATTGTATATCTCATAAAGGATGGCCCATCAGTGAGTATATTTTCTCATGGGACACAACATAAAGACTTTTCAAGAACTTTTCTCATGAGACAGAAAGAAGCTCTATGTCTCCAAGCAATATTGTCTTTGCTGTTTTTGTTTTTGTTTTCATAAAATGAGCACCACTTCCTTCATGGAAATGGCAATATGAGGATTATATAAGTAAGTAAGTGAAGGGAAAAGGATAAACATCAAAAAAAGGAAGCAGTCGTTGCTTTTTAAAAAATGGTACACATACATTTTTCATGTAAACATGACCTAAATATGCAGATTGTAAGCGAGGATACAAAGATAATCCAGACATACTCCTTCCTGCCTTTTTATGGCGAATTTTCGGAATATAAATGTTGATGATTAATCATTTTGAGAGGCTGAGTAGATAATGACTAAAAATCATGTTAAGATGGATGAAATCACGTTTTGAAAATTTAAATTCTCCAGAACGGTAATAATTCAAATTCTTCAAAACCGTTAACTATTCAAATTTTACAAAAAAATTAAAAAATTTATGCTTCACAAAGTTTTGAAAATGCTCAGGAAACGCAACCATAAAGTCATTAAACAACTTCTTTACTCATTCTACTATTCTGTAATGTTTATTGTTGTTAAATTTTTTTATATAAATATTTAGCAACACTGAGAGACTTTAAGGATTACATAATAATACATAATAATATTAAAGTGAACATTTTCCGACCCTGAATTTAATTTCCATTTCCAAGAAGAAAACATTCTCATCTAAAATTCCAACTCAATTCGTTGTTAAATATTTTCGAGCATCCGCATTGATCACAGCTGAAATCCATTCCAAGTAGCTTCCAACTTTAATGTAAATTCCCGGATATTCAGTTGGATCAGCAATGTCCTGCAAAAGATTTGAGAAAGACCGGATATTAGACTGAGCATAACAAAAAGAAAAGCATAAAGTCTTACTTCCTCATCATCTGTCTCAGCATAACTTCTCAAGCCAACCACAAACAATCGTCCATTGTGAATTGTGAATAAAGCAGTTGCTAAGTCGCCAGCACAATCATCGCCTGTTTCATCCCACACACAAAACTCGTATGGCGATATTGTTATTCGCTTTCGTGAAAAGAATTTTCGGCAGTCAAATGTCGTGAGTGGTGCCTAAAGAAGATGATGAATATGAAAGTGAGCATTAAAATGAGTAAGAATTGCCATCCCGTAGGTGGATGAGAAACAGCGATTTTCAGCACGAATGAATGAAATTTTAAAATTAAATTGGTAAATAAAGTGTTTGTGCTGCTGATGGTGATGTAGGCGTCGAGGTCATAAGGAAAGAATCTTCTCTACGTGATTTATTAAAGGAAATTGCTAAAAGGTATTCAAACGAGAAACGCAGAGACTTTTCTTGGAACTTTTTAAGGCAATTTTTGCTGATGGAGGTTTAAGAACAATAAAATTGAACTTAATAGAGTAATTTTTACTTGATGCTGTTCATCAGGTACCAAAATATGCATTCAAATTAAAGACACTTTAAATAATAGTCCTTAGCTTCATAGCCAAGAAATAAATCTATAAAGCATAGCAAGTGCAACAAATTAGCCAAAACAAACAGTTATGAATATAATATCAATTCACATCGTCGCTAAAATCCCTAAAATTATAGAAAGTTCTTTCCTATTGTGACAATTGCTCACCAAACGATCCGAATTGCTTCAAGCGAATCCCACAAAAATCATTTTAAATAAGCCACAAAAAACTTTCAAGAAGACAAGCTGAATCAAAATGTTTTTACTCATAAAATGCTCGAGAAGGACATGAGCAAACAGCAAAAAGTTGTTATCTTCATGCCATTATCTATTCTTACCGCAAATTCCATTGTAACATCTGCCGGTACCTTGCTCTGCTCCGATCGTTTACATAAATGTGTCTGAAGTTCCTTAAAGTTATAATTGTCAGATTGTGGCAGACATGCAGGACGAATAACATCAGTAAAATTCACAGATTCCTTAAGTTTTATCAAGGCTATATCACGTTTCTTATGGAAATATATCTCTTCCACATCAATCTCGACCGAGTAAGTTTTATCACGATTTGCATACTTATTCCATGTTATGAAATCACCAAGTCGTACAGATGAAACTGTCCAGAAGCTTTCACTATGATAGACAGACGAGACAGTTGTAAGGACGAAATTCTCAGAGATTAAGACTCCTTTGCTTAATGTTCGCTTGCTATTTTGAGTGTCATATGGATTTGTATGTACAAGCAGTGCTATAAATGGTATATCATCACCTATCCTCTCACCGCAATTGCGTACACGAAGGGATTTTTTTGTCACTGTCTCAACAACTTGAATTGGAGGTGGAGATGGACCTTCTGTCTCTACTGGACTTTCGACTGCTTCATCAGTTTCAGCACTCGAAGGCTCCTTTATGATGTTTACTTCTTCATCATTTGTCGCCACAATATCTGCTATTGATGGACTTGATGTTGTTCCTGCTGTACTTAAACGTGTAAATCTTCTCTTTCTTGTTGATAAAGTTTCGGTTTCTGTGTTCCATGATGTTGTTATTGCCGGAAAGAAATGAAAAGGAAAATGAACATTTTTTTTTGATCAAAAGAGTCCAAAAACAAAGAAAATTCTTCATTAATTCTGATAATTCTAGGTATGAGTCATGCTGTGTGATTTTATTGAATGGTAAGGAGTTGATTTTCATGACATTTCGTCTTTTGATGATTTTGCTAGCTTTAAGGTGCTCATAATTAAATTTAATGAAAGCACCACTTTTAGGGCCTGCTACAAGGTTTCAACCCAAAGATTATAATCTGCGGGAGCCTTGTGAAAAAAAAAGAAAATCAGTTGAATATTCCGACAACAACAAACTCCAAGTATGATAGTCAATATGTCTACAAAACAATTATCATCAATAGGTTTTGAATCTGTTATCAATTGACATTTTATACTGATTGGGAAGTGCATGTTACTTGCTTTGATTTGAAATAAGCCTCAATGAGACAAAATTGATAAAAATATCGAACATTTAATGCGGTAAGTTAGCGACAAACTTGATATCAATTTGCTGTTTCATAATTTGACGTAATTTTAAAAATTGCCACTTTTTAGTAAATTCGTGATTTTTGCAAGCTTTGAAATCATTCCGCTTGTGATGCTCAATAATTTTCATTAATACACTTAAAGTCACTGATATAAAGACACAAAACTCTAATTTTAAATATTCTCACAAGGTCGTTTGCCACAAAATTGCGCTTTTAACAAAATAATTTCAAACAATCCTCATTCCTTATCTTTTTTTTTCGTCTTCTTTACTTCCCAAATTTTTTTCTTTTTTTTTTCATTCCAATAAAACTAAATATCTCATGATTACAATAATCATATCATTTCTAGTCATTTCTTTCAATCCATTCTGTGTACATACCACAAAGAACGTTAACAATAAATAGGAATAAGATTAAGAACAGAAAAGTCTTTCTAGTTAACATTTTAGCTTCACAATAAGGAATAAAAACTTTTTACATCGAAAGTCGAATGAACACTAAGGAACAAAATACATTTTTGATTATTAAGTAATCATTTCCAATTTTGTGTGTACGTTTATGATAATGGAATCATTGATAACATTAGTTTTTTGTTGGATACGATAAGATAGCATGTTCGCATACACGAAAAAAAAGTTATTTCCATTAGATGACAATATGAGAAAGATATTTTCGGGAGGTCGTATACCGAATTCCTCATATCTTTATTGGACTTCCATGAAAACATATGTTAGTCAGTTGATAATACGAAAGCTGCAATATGGCATAAGTAATCTTAAGCTTTTTTTTTTGTTTTTGTAAAGCTTTCTTTTAATCTATTAATTTTGTTTTAGTGCGATCCATTTGATTGTTTTGATGACCAAATGACATGCAGCTGTAGTTGATAATGCAGAGATTCAAATATATTGCTTTTGGACTAGAATAAAAACACTCGGGACGATTTATGATAATGCGAATCAGAGGACTTCTATCTGATATATTTAACCAAGGAATATCCTAGTGATGTAAAAGGAGGAGTCACTAGTTCTAAAATTAAAAACTAGTTTATATTGAATTCTCAAGGCTTTATCCCTAAGATACAGATATTAGTATTTGATGGACCAGCAATTAAGGTCCGAAAAAATGACAAAATTGGCAACGCAATCACAACAATATGTACTGTAGAAAATGTCTTCAGCGCCGATTTTAGGCTTAATTTTTTCACTCATCAGCATTAAGGACCTCATAAAGGTAAGATATTCCAATGTAAATGCAATTTTAGCACAGAAAGTAAGTCAAATTGTTCCTACATGCAGGCTTTTGGTTTTGAATTGAAGTTTAAGTCAGAAAGTATTAAATAATGAAATCCAAAAAGTTCTAGTGGACGCAATAAGCTCTCAATTCCTTAATATCATACATTTGTAGGTGTTGAACCTTAAAAAATAAAATCAGAAAACTAATTTGAACTTGAAATACTTAACTGTGAGCATTTTATGATATGTTGATTGAGTTATGAACTTGAACTTATACTTGTGTAATTAATTGCAAGTTATGAACATAAAACTTACTTACTTACTTCGCTGGCCGTACAGATCAATTGTGATCCATGGCCTCCCTTAGATGGCGCCTGAAGCTGACTCTGTCGCTGGCTTCCGTTTGCCAATTAACCATACCAAATGCAATACTGTCTCTGTCAACAGCTTCTTTCCAAGAGTTCTTGGGTCGCCCGCGTGTTCTTTTGCCATCTACAAAAACATTCTTAAAGACTTTATTAATGGGATAATGGGATAATGAACATAAAACATGTCATTTAAATCATGAAATAACGTGAATTGTGCGGAATTATTTAAAGTTAATGTTTTTATGTCAGGCAATATAGAGCACAATAATTAAAGCACCATCGAAGTAGCGCGTCCAGAAATATTGCATAAAAGTATCTAAATACCAAAAGACATACCATTGAAGACCATACCAGACCATATTCAAATTCTACTCAAGCAAACTTACATTAAAGCGAAGATTTTGCTAAAAATCTGCACCAAATTTATTTTAAATTCACGAAAAATCTATTGCAAGCACAGCAATAATTTAAATCTTAAAAAGTTTTGAAAACAAAAAAAAAATCATGCACAGCTCTAGGCTGTAAATCCTTCTCATGTTCTATTTATTTTCAGAATATTAAATTTTCAAAGGTTCTTTTTGCATGCTTCGAATGAGTCTGTAAATAACCCACAAGCTTGTGGATTCAGAAATTTTCTCAATGTATGGTTCTGAGTATTTTATATCCATAAACAGAGGACAATGAGCATTAAAGCTATATACTAATTTCTTAAGATAAAATTCCCATAAAAATCAAATCAAACCATTTGAGTCGAGTCACATTGAGTATATGGAGATAAGCATATAAAATAATCATTAGGTTCTATTTTAATAATTCACATTTTACACTTTTGTATTTGTATACATATGAATTAGTATTATGTAGGATCAAACTTCTAATCTTCAAATCTAGGTTTCAAATAAACTAAGGCTCTCATTTCGATCTTCTGTAGGCGTGACGTGATACTTTTCAGGTCCGTTCTAACAATATTCCATTCGTGGGTAATCTTGTAGCTCTCGTTCCTATTTCTCCCGCTATACTTCAAGTTCCTGATCCGTTCCTTAATCCAACGTTGCCCAAATGTCCAATTATGGCTTGATCTCCTACATTAAGCAGTCGAAGTATCTAAACTTCCGAAAAAGAACTAATTTGGAAATGGCTGGATTCGAACCGACGACCTTCGAGTTACCATCCCAAATTTGAGCCAAGCGCCTTACCTATTCGACCAGCAAGGCACTTAACTGCATAATTTGAACTCCTTTTTTGTGTCATTCTTGGAAGATTTTTCATCGAAGGTAAGGAATGCTATGTCCACATTTTGAAAACGAAGCCAAAGAAGCTCTATAACTTTGAATATAAGACCGAATAAAGCATGAAATAAACTACGTCACTACTCCTTACTCATCAAGCCCCAAAAATCGAAATAACTTAGCCAACAGAATCAACTTAAGTTCATTTTCATCTTCAAAAATTCAGAATTCCGGGAAAAATAAATGAACGAATGAGAAGAGAAGTTGGATGAGGGATGAAATAAAGCAATTTCAATGAAATTTGTGGAGCGTAACAAAAGAAATTGTTCTTTTTTGTGGGTTATTTGCTTTTTCCTCTATCTTCACAGCTCAAAGTGCCATTGATGCTTTATTCCTTTCTGAAAAAAATTCTCTATCCTCATTTTTCTCCTTAATAATTTTTTGTTTATTTGCACAAAAATGCGGAAGTAATTTTCACCCACAATAAATCTCAACTAAATCTCTTTTTTGTGTGATTTCTTTTATTCTATAGCTATCATCATGACAATGCGGATTTCATTCATTTTACAGCTCTTCGTGTGACTATTTATTTATTATTTTTTATGGATTCCTGAATTATTGTAAGTAAAAGAAGAATTGATCACTCGATATAAATTAATGTGGAGCGTAATGGTATTGAATTTAACAAAAAATTCCACTTTCATGTTTGAGATTTTACAAAAAGACTTTTAATTCCTTAAATTTTGCAATTTCATGTGGATAACTTAAAAGCAGTTGTAGTATAATTGGAAGTTAAATTAGAAAGGAAAGGTGAAGAGAAGAAGGTGAACCCCAATCTCCCAAAACCCGTCCAATCCTACGTATGAAAACTCATAAATATTTTATTAAAAATATAGAGCCTCTAAATCCCTTTCGAAAGCTCTTGAACACATGATATAATCATTAACCTCCCATGTTTATTGATCCCATTTTGATTTCTCTTCCTTGTCTTACACATACATATCCTGAAGAGCACCAAATATTTACATGTCACATAATTTAGTGAATGGAATGAATAGCAAAGGTTTTACTCATATGTATCTCCACACAATCTGCTGACGATGCTTGAAAGTATCGAGAAAAAGAAGAAGGAAAGTTTAAACGATTCTTTAATGCAATGTATATATTATGTGCTATAAAGGGTTCTTATGTGGATACATAAATATGTCTGTCATATAAGGGATAAGGGCACACTTCGCATTCTTCCCTTTCCTTTATGTGTCTGTAATTGTGGAACTGAAAAAGTTCGTCTGCCTGACATGATTTACATATGGAAGAAAGGTATTGATAGATGGGATTTAATTTATTTATAATGCAATGTTGTACTTAGGGGCGTTGCTGGATATGTTTTGGGGGAGCTCCTTTGAGCAGAAAGGTCGGTTTTTCCCATCAATTATTAATTTTTGTGGAGGGGTCTACCTCGAAACTTCCTTCTAGCTACGCCCCTAGTTATGCCTAATTATAGTTGGTATATGAGTTTGTTTGGCAGGAGTTGTGTTAAGTATTAAAATTAGCTTCGTGTTCAATGACATTTTCTTAATACTGATTGATTGAGTTTGAAGTTGGAAGGAGAAGGTGTGATTTGCTTGAAAATCAATAATTTTAGGTCACAAAATAAAGGAGAATGTCTTTATAGAATTGGACTTCAATTTAAAAAGTTCTCTGCCATTTGAGAAGTTTGTCAATGATGAGATTTGAATCCACGACTTTGCAATAGACAAACCTCTCAGCTATTAAAGCTTAGCTATCACCATATTGAAATAAATGCTTCAAAGTAAATATTCAGCAGCAAGCTCTAATAATAAATTTCCAATTTTATGCTCAAACAAGTCCATTAATCTAATATTCTGTGCCTATCCTTTCATGCAGAATCTTTTAAAATTCATGGATCATTAAAATTAATGAATTTGCCATAAAAGAATGAAAATTTAATCAATCTCTATAGAATATTCATAAAAGTCGCCTTTTGCACCCACACATTAGCCTTGCCTAGACCATTCTATGTGTATATAAAGATTTAATAAAACTCTCTTGACTCTCAACTGCTCATTAAAATTGATGACTATTAGATACGATTTTTTATGTTTGCTTTATTTTTATTTATCCTTAGATGTGTGAAACTTTATGTGAGCATCCTTTTTTGAAATCCAAAAGAAGGAATAAGTTTGGAATTCTGTGACGGAGCAATAGAGGATGCATTTGTCAAATGATTATTGAGCAAAAGAGAGAATCAAGCTATTTTTTTTTTATAATTTTTTTTCCCTCGTCACTTTTTCATTTTTATCATAAAAGTTTTCATTTCTTCTGTCGTTCCTTCATCCCCACCTGCCTATCATGTTTTGTTGCTTCTTTATCTTTCCTAATTTTGAATATAATATCAAATTATGAAAAACACAACATTAAATTAGTGGGTGTACAGACTTATACGCGCGTATGCCTTCTGTTGAATATCAAATAAAGGTTGAACTTTATGATGATGGTGGTGGTAATGTGGAACTTTTTACTCATCACTGTCGTCATCAAAGCCTCCTGATGCGATGAAATTAAATGAAATTTCGGAGAGGGGTGGATTTGAATGAAATGAAAAAGTTTTACGCGCTCCTAATTTTGAATGTTG